AGCATTACCAGTGCCTCTTCGTAGGGTTTGCACTTCTCCAGCTGCTGTAGAGCTTTTTTGTAATTCTTGATTGTGGTTTCTGGAATTGGCTCTTCTGACCACTCCTCATATTCAGCATATGAAGCCTCCATGTCTATGAGAACAGACATGAAACCCCATCAATAATGCACTTATGGGACTAAAAAAAAAATAAATATCAGATTTCAACCTATGTTTGGCTCTGACATATATTCCTATTTTTATTTCTATAATACTTATAATAAATATTTATTTCCCCTTTGGGGATCTATCACACTACTGCACACTTAAAGGGTTCAGACACCTCACCTTATACAGTGTCCTATAAACAAACTCAGGGCAAGTTATATTAAAGTTGCTCATCTGGGATTAGAAAACCAAGAGGGGCAAAATTTTCCCCATGGCTTTAAAGAAAATATAAGAACCCAAATTCTTTCTATACAGAAATGAAGTCAAAGAACTATGTTTGACTTTCTCTTGTGAGCAAAGCAGCGAGAAAAGGGACTTAGGAGTTTAAAAGAAGAAATAGAGAAAGGGGAATTCCAGCAATCCACCTGTCAAGAGATACTCCCTACCAAGGTTTTTATGCAGCAATCACAGCTGAATTCCTCATTTCTAGTGGTCCCATTTTGTGCTCATCACTTCCACTTTAAATAGCTTCAATTATGCACTGAGCAACCAGATCCACCAGGTATCAATAAATACAAATATTTCTGGTCCAAAGGGATTTGTGCCTCATTCATGAGGCAAATTCCTCATTTCTGGTGGTCTCGTTTTGTGCTCATCACCCACACTTTAAACAGTTCTGAGCAACGAGATAACACAAATGTCAATAAATAAGAATATTCCTGATCCAGAGGGATCTGTGCCTCGCTCACAAGGCAAACGGCATTGATTAAAGGGAACACAAGAATTCCAGCTGCAGCTTGTGTGGCCCTACCAAAAGAACCCTGGTGCCTGAGGGCTGGATCAGGGTATCCCAGCTCTTCCCTCCCTCCCTCCCTCCCTCCGGGCGCTCCGGCTCTTACCCAGCAGTGGGATCCCCAGCTGGCGCCGGAACAGTGTGTGGATCTTCTCGAGCTGGCTGCACAGCACCTGCTGCTGCTCCGGGGATGGAACGCTGCCAGGGGCTGGCTACCAACAAAAGGAGGGAATTCAATCAGCTCCAAGTGGATGGACACGATGGGGGATTGTTTATGAGCTGGGGGAGCCGAGATCCAAGTGATCACAGGATCCCTGAAGGACACGCATGGCCAGCTCGCGTTTCACTGCTGGGAAAGCTAAAACTTGGAGATGACTCCACTGGATGAATGGGAAAAGCATTCCTGACTGAAAGCTGACACAGGCACAGGGAAATGATCAAGGAGAACAAGGAACAGCATGCAACTGTGCTGCTTCACAAACCACCAAAGAGGTTTCAGTAAATCCCTGGGGTGTGGAGGGATGATTTGGAACTTCCAGCTTTCATTGTGTTTGGGAGTGAAAGGGCATTCTCCTGTTACCCCTTTGTTAGGGCGTTTCAGAGGACTGGGTAGGAAAGGACATTTAAGATGAAATAGTTCCCACCCCACCACGAGCAGGGACACCTTTAACTTCTATCTCTTATGTAGTAAACTATAAAAATAAAAAGAAATATTCACATTCCGGCCATCCCGTAAAAGTATCTTTTGCAGATGTCAAACTGTACTCTCCAGGGGTAAAACACCCTCATCCACAAGGCACAAACAGTGTGGAAAAACGAATGAATTAAAAGGTGAAGTAGAGAACAGTCTAGAAACTTAAACAAGATTGACTCTGTGTAGAAATAGTCACTGGCAAGAATACTGTCTGATAATGGAGCTCTTCAATTTAAAGCTGTTCTTGGCAGCTCAATTAGCAGAAGGGAACTTTGCTCCTGCATTTGAGATTTGATGATTTTATTTAAGCACAAATCCACTAATTTATCAACCAAATACACAAAATGGTTTTCCAAGAGCAAAGGGCCAGTTTTTAGAGCTGAAAAGGCCCTTTTCCTCAGAGGAGACATCCCAAGCTGCTCCACAGGAGCTGCTGCACAGCTTGTCTGGGATGAGAGCCCTGGGGAATGGCCTCACCTGTGCTGTTTCCAGGATGGCATTCTCAAATTCCCTGTACGCTTCCCACAGAGCTGTGCCCTTGGTCACGTGCAGCCCCACTGCAGTCAGTGCCCTCTCGAAGATCGACCGCACCTTCTCGATCCCTCCTTCCTGGCCGATGCCTCCAATGGAATATTGGGCGTATTCCAACCAGATTTCAGGACCTAAACAAAGTGAGGACGAACAGATGACCTGATCTTCTCAAAAATAATGAAACCCAGGCAACTCTGCTTCCCAAACACCTCATTTGCTGCAAATAAATAAACCAACACATGACATTTCTCTTTATTTTCTTTTTTTTTTTTGTTTATCCAATATAGTAAAGTTAAAATACTGAATTTATGCTGTAGGTTTAGCAGCAGCACCACAATTTCCCTTTGAAAGGAGTAATTCTTATGGTTTTACTGACCCTGCCTGTCACCTCTGCTACACAAACCACACCAGGGGTGAACCAAGACCCCTTAAGAGTAAATTCACTTTTCCTGAGCATCCCTGCAGAGCTGGGACCACAAAGCTGCCACATTCCTGAACAATTCAGATTAAAGTAGCTGCTTCTTCTCTTTCCAGACTCCTGAACTTGCCTGGCCAGCATTTCCTTAAGCAGCTGAGCCCTGAAGGTGAGGAGGAGGTGGGGGAACAGCACTGGCTGCCTGGCACCTCTCCCACCACCAAATTCCCTTCAGGGACCCCCAGGTGGGGATTGCCCAACCATAGATGTTGGATGGCACATCTGGGCCCCAGAAGTCCTTCCAAACCCCAAGTGCAATCCAGAAGATCCAGAGGACACCTCCTCAGCTCTTCACCTCCGTTCCTTCTTCCTGAAGGATCATCAACTGATTTTACTGATGTGACATTTTGGGTACAGCTCCTGTAAGGGATGTAACTCCACGTTCCCAACCCTCCACTTCCTCAGGCTTCATTCTCCCCTTACCCCAACACCCAAAGTTTGCAGTTATTCAGAGTTTTATGCCAAAAGTTTTAAGCTACAGCAGCTCCTGAGACAGAGAGACCAGACACCACGTCCTTCCCCTGCATCACACGAACATTTTAGAAATTATTTTGAAATGTCAATCCAATTTCTACATTATAACAGAAGAAAAAGACTTCTCTAGAAAAAAAAAAAAGCCAAATCTGGATGTAACACAAGATATTTTACAGTATTTATTAAGGACTTACAGATGTAATCCTTGACAGCTCGTTCAAACAGCTCATAGACCTTCTCTCGCTCAGAGCTCTCCGAAGCCATTTTTATCTCATCCTTCAGCCAGTCCAGCCAGATTTCTGAAAGGAAAAGATTTGGAACACATCACTAATATGTGTTCAGAAATAATAAGTTAGATCCCCTTGGTGTTTTACTAGAGTTTTTAGGGTTAAAATCAGGGAGAGGGCCAAGGCAAAGAGAGGAATTTTAACTTCCATGACTCCTCGTAACAAATTTAAAGTTAAAGTTGGGTGAAGACTTTTTAAAGCGGAGTTTGCTGGGATCTGGGTCACACTCCCTGCCTGAGGGTTCTTAAACCTGGCACAGACATCTTATTTCAGTACAGGTGAAGCTTCCCTTGTGGGGGCTGTAGCAGGAGCAGAGGGTGCTCAGTACCTTCAGTGAGGGGGAAGAGCTCGCTCATCTTCTGCCGAGCTCGCCGGAGCTTCACCAGCTCTCCCTCCTGACGCAGCAGCTTGATCAGATCCAAGTGACAGTTGTAGTCAAAGGCATTAATGGACAGCTTAAGAAACGATAAAAAAAACGATTCTAAAACCACTGCTGAATGGGGGACATGAAGAAATCATAAAATAAATCATAATCTCCTCGTGCATTCGTGGAGCCAAAACCACAGATTTGCAACAGATTCCACTTCTGTTTGTAAGGTGTTTCCAGGTTGCACAGGGACATTTTTTAAAAACACTTTCAGGTTTAAAAGAGCTTTAAGTTAAGCTTAGTGCTCAGCTCATGGCGTTAAGCTCCCAGGGCCACTTCAGACTCCAAACACTCGCGTCTTAAAATCATGGAATACCCCGAGTTGGACAAGACGAGCAAGGACCACGGGAATCCACGTCCTGACACTTCCCAGCACCAAAGTACAGCCACGGTCGTGGATTTTCCCCTGTTCCCGCCACACCCGCTGCCCGCCGGGCCCACCTGCTCCTCCAGCCGCTGGATCTCGGCCTCGTTCTCCTTCTCCTCATCCTCGCCGTCGCCGGAGGAGTCCGAGTCCCCCTCATCATCCGAGTCCCCGCCCGACTCGGGGTCTCCCTCCGGCAGCCGCTTCTCCTCCTCTGCCGCCGCCTCAGCTCCCGCCGCCGCCATCTTATGCAGCTCCGCTCGCCGCCCGCCGCGCTGTGCCAGCAGCCGCGGCTGCCCCCGCGCCGCCCGTCCCGCCGCCCCGCGCCGCCGCCTGCCGAGCCGGGCAGGGAGAGCGGGAACCCGCCGCCCGCCCCGCCCTGCGCTCCGCTGCGAGCTGGGACCGAGCTGCGCCGAGCGGGGCGGCGGAGCGACCCTTTGTATTCCGGTGCGTGGCTCAGGCAACGCTGTGGACACCCCGCTGTGCCGCCCTCAGGGGGGCCTCCGGGAGGGTCTGCGGCGTGCGCGGCGCGGCTCGGCTGCCATATTGAGTGTGGCGTCTCGCACGCGCGCCGGATATCCCGATAAAATGCCTGTCACGACAGAAGCGGCGCTTCCACCTTTTTTTTAAATTATTGATCCTTTCAGCGGCAGCGCGAGGCCCTCCCCGCGGGCGGCCCCCGGCGCTCTCTCGGTCTGCGCGGGGAACGCGTGGTCGCGGTGAGACGGGGAAGCCTAACGGCCTGAGGCGAGGGGGTGTGGTCGGGGCGTGGCCTCCTCGCCCGAGGTTATAAAAGGGCGCCGCGCACCGCCCGCCCCTCAGTCAAGATGGCGACGCTGAGGGCGGCGGGGGCGGCGCTGCTGCGGCCCCGGGCCGGGCCCACCCCGGCCGCGCTGGGCTACCACAAGAAGGTGAGGGGCTAGCGGGGCACGGGGAGGGACGGGAGGGGGAATCTGGGTGGCTCTCGGTGACGCTGTGCCTTCGTAGGTGGTGGATCACTACGAGAACCCGCGCAACGTCGGCTCCCTCGACCGCAACGCCAAGAACGTAGGCACCGGCCTGGTGGGCGCCCCGGCCTGCGGCGACGTCATGAAGCTACAGGTGACCTTGGGGACCCTGTGGCACCTGGCGGGGGGGTCACGTGGGGCTGCTGCGAGGCACAAACCTGCCCGTGTCCCCGCAGGGCACAGCGTGGCCTTCCCGCACAGCCGCCCTGCCCTGTGCCTGGAGCAGGGCCCGTCCCGCTCCCCCGGGGCAGGCGCTGAAGTGTTCCCAAAATGTTCTCACAGGTGGAGGTGGACGAGAACGGCAGGATCGTGGACGCCCGGTTCAAAACGTTCGGGTGCGGCTCGGCCATCGCCTCCAGCTCGCTGGCCACCGAGTGGGTCAAAGGGAAAACGGTGAGGGAGCTCTGGGAAAGCTTCCGAGCGTCACACCCGCCTGTGCTCTCTGTCCAGATCGCCCTGGCCAGGGAATCCCGGCACTGCTTTGTGCTGGAGCTTAGAAGGCAGTGACTGCCAGCCCTGACTTAGAGCAAGAGTTACCTTTTTCAGGAATCATTAGAGAATCATTAAGGCTGGAAAAAGCCCTAAGAGCATTGAGTCCAACCATTCCCTCAGCACTGCCCCGTCCACCACTGACCCATGTCCCCGGGTGTCACATTTTTTTAACACTTCCAGGGGTGGTGATTCCACCAGGGAAGTACTTTGTGTCTTATGCAACGAGCAAAACCAGGCTGAT